CTCTGGCTTCCTTAAGAGGAATTGTAAACACAAGGATTTCCATTATGGTTGGACCAAAGGTTGTTTTATGTAATTTTTTATGGTTTCTAGACCCTAAAATTCTCACTTGAGGCTTTGGCGACCTATTGTATTCCTGAGCAAATAGTTAAAAATTACTTCACAGCATTTACACAGTAACTTACTGGTTCCTGTTCAGACGTTAATTGTCATTGGACGGCTTTGTTTCAGCGCAGCCTTTTGGAAACATTGAAACACTAAGCAAATGGTGTCAAATAATGTTGCATCCTAACCCCACTTTTTTATATTTGAATAATAATTTAAAATAAATAAAATAATTATGGCTACCATTAATACTAGACAATTAACATATATAGTATATCTAACATCCAAGTACCCCTTATTTACAGATAAGGAAGCTGAGCCTCAGTAAGTTTTATAACTCACGGTCAAACTGCTAATAAACAAGAAGCAGCATTTAAACCAAATTTGTCCAACTCCAGAGTCTGTGTTTTTTCTACTAATCAAATGTCTCTCATAATTGTGAACTCAATGTACCTTCCCTGTCACAGTATAAAGAAAGAATGAATTGAGAGGTAGGAAGTGGCCTCAATAGAAGAATATGCTAAAATGCCTCAGAAGATGGCATTTATCTTGGTGAATGTACAGTACTCTAAAGTATTAACCATCTAACATTGGACTTTTATTAGTCACTGTGTTTCAAAATGATCAGAAGAGCAGTGATGGGCCAACAATGAATAAATTCACACTCAACTGTAATATAAAACAGAAACCAATATATTAGTTTAGAAAGTGATATCCCTTTTCAGTTTCTAAAATGTCTGTGTCTGCAGTGTAAGGTAGAGATGCAGGATGCCCAAGAAGCTGAATTATTTATCAGGAGATTACTTAGCAAAGGGAGGTAAATTATCTTGAGGACTGTTTTATACAGATCATGGGGAGGTGTGATGGGCTATCCCTGATGCATAGCAAAGACTGACTCTTGAGGACTAAATTACCCATGACCCAGTTTCAACATCTTTCTCTCCTGGAGAGAAAGTTTGTATCTCTAAAAAAAGGCTTTTCTATAGCAGCCACCCCTTCAGTTGGTAGAGTCTCTATCTGTGTTAATTCCACTAATTAAGCTAGGGAGCTGTTACCAGAAATGTGGCTATTACAACGACATGCTAGACATTGTGTCGCCTGTAACACATATCGATTTAACTAGTTTAACCTTCTGCAATTATATTTCTCTTGGGTGAGTAGATAATCCAATAGCTCCTGCTATGTCATCGACTTCAGGAACCAAGATGCAGCTTGTTTCCAGCTGCTGCCCCTAACTAATAACCTTGTTGCCACTTATTCAACCCTAAAATGGTTATATCTAGCAGATAATCCCTCTATGTTCAAAAAGAAGATCATTTGTTCTTTTATTTGAAGTACAATTTAAAACAATTTTTTTCCAAACAGAACCACCAGGTGGCAGTGCTACTCAAGGCCGGATGTTTGATAGTGGCCATATTGAGGGTTTTTTAATAGTCAAACTTCCTCTCTATTTTCCTCACTTAAATAAAGAAGAAATTAATGGTTCTCCTCACACATTTTTCACTACCCACTATTAAATAATAACTTCCACGCTCTGATTCTAACCTCTAAGAACTTATGTGTGTATAAGAACTTCTCAAGAAAAACTTTAATGTGTGGTGTAACAGCACTCCACAATTTTTCAAGACAGTTCAACACAGACAGCCAGTCTTCTAGCTAAGCCTATCCAAGCATGGCTGAAATGTACAAAATGACATGCTCTCATATTCTCTGCACAGCAGCATAGACTACCAAAAAACAATGTCCTGGACCTCATTATATTTGAATACTTCCCACTTTTCCCTTTGCAGATTATTGGTCTTTACTGTTATACATCCTCACATCCTTACTGTTATAAAGGGTCGAAATAACATCGCTTAAGACTGTGAGCCTTCTAGGCTTAGTATGTTGGGGACATAGAAATGTTGGAGATCTGGATGAGGTGGGAATTAGTGGCCCCAAAATGTAAGAATAAAACTGCTGAATCAAATTTAATCAAATATTTCTTTAACTTTTCTATGTCACTTGTTACAATTTGTGATTATTATTTATTTTGGTATTTATTTGTTAGTAATCTATCAACCCCATTAGCAAAATGTAATCTCCAGTTGAGACAGGAACCATAACTGTTTTATTTTCCCATATATACCCAGTGCTTAGCAATTAGTAATGTTCAGTAAATACTGATTAAATAAATAGATCTCTAATTCTAAGATAAGTTATTCTAAGAAAGGATTAACTCATTCATGCATATTTCATTTTCTAGATGTTTTTCTCAGTGAAACTTGTTTCGTACTCAAAGAACCAAATGTTCAGAAGTATATAGTCAAAAGAAAATGGAAATTGAAAAACTATAGGTGTAGAACCAATAGTTATAGGAAAAAAGGCTAAGAAGTTGAATTAATCTCCCAATTGTCTTGATTTTTTTTTTTTTTTTATTCTCCCTGAAAACTTGCTGCTAAACAGCCACTTCCCTGGCCTTCTTTCTCAGAAACAAAATATTGGAATTAATCCAAGTTAGCACCACACTGCTGGCTCCTTTTATGCAGGAACAATGATTTATTAGTCTTCTTGTCCCCAGTACTTAACACAGTACCTGGCACATAATATGTACAATGGAATATTATTCAGCAATAAAGAGGAGTGAAGAACTGATTGATACATTATACAACATGGATGAACCTTGAAAACATTACGCTAAATGAAAGAAGCCAGTCACTAAAAAAAAAAAAACACATATTGTATGATTCCTTGTATATGAAATGTCCAGGATAGACAAATCTATAGAGACAGAAAGTAGGTTACGGTTGGCTAGGGCCGGGAGAGTGGGTGAGAAATGGATAACGGTGAGTGCTAATGAGTTTAGGGTTTTGGAAAGGATGATGAAAATGTTCAAAAATTGCTTGTGATGATGATTACAAAATTCTGTAGATATACTAAAAGCTATATGAATTGTAATAATGTAAATTATATCTCAGGAAGACATTAAAAAAACAAAAAAAAACCTTTGAATTTGTTTTTTATATCTAAAGAGACCAACTAAATGCTAAAGATTTGTTGCGTTTATTTTAATTAATATAATTTAGATATATGAAATACACTTTTTCAATAGTATATACTAATAAGTACAATTTCTTAAGAAAATTATGCTGATCATAAGATATGATAAACATGTTCCCAATGTTTTTTATTTGTTTTCTTGTTTTAGGAATAATTATCTCTTATTCAGTTACCTAGGTAGGGCCTTTTTGTGATTAGTATTATCTCAGGGGAGACTACTGAGCAATTATTATTCAAAATCAGAAATATTATTAAAGTAAAGTTCTAAGTGTACATTGTGATGCGATTAATAATATATGCTTTATGTTTCAGTCAGTGGAACCTAGTGAAGTGAAACATGTAACTGCAGCATCAGGACCAGCATCAGTAGTTGCTGATCTACCCAGTAATGAAAAAGAAATAGACCCCGGCAGCATCCCTACTACTATCAAGTACCAAGATGACAATTCTCTGGCTCATCCGAATGTAAGATCCTTAAACCTTAAGAATGTCACCTGAAGTCTAGTTGACTGAAATTAATTCAGACTGTTGTCCTTTTGTGCTGGAAACAAGACCATTGAATGAAATGAATTCATATGTTCTGATTTGCTAAAAATAGGTAGCTGGCCTCCAGCCTTTAGAACTGTTACATGTATTTGAATATGGTATGTCCAACTCATGTTGCCTGACTTCTAGAAGTATTCTTTCTATCATTAAGAAAATAGGTAAAAAGAAGAGTTTCTTTTGTTTTCAATCTGGCACTAAAAGATCTAATGCAGGCTCAGCTCTAGTTCGTTCATTGGCTATGAGCATGTCACTAACATTATATTTTGCTGTCTTCTGTCATTTCACTGTGTCTCTCAGAAATATTGTAGGACATAAACTTCACAAAATAAGGCATAAAATTATTAACCAAGTGATGTTGATATTCATCTTTTTACTCCAAGACTATCTAAACGTTATTAATTACCAGTAGATGATCTTTAGTTAAGAAGTTCATCAAGGGTTAAGCAGTATCCTGATCTTGTGCTGAAGGATATATTTTATAAAGGTGATCTGTATCATGTAAGAGTGAATCCAAGTTATTGGCAGACATTAACATTTTTTCTTTTTCTTTTTCTTATTTCAGTTATTTATTGAGAAAGGCGATGCTGAGGAAAAGTGGTTCAAGAGATTAATTGCTCTTCGACAAGAAAGGCTAATGGGCAGTCCTGTGGCCTAAATGATACATATGGTTGAATTAACAGTAACATTGGAAATTTAGGTTGATAAATCCCAAATTACCTTTATACTCTTAAAGAGAAATTACCCGGTGATATAAAAAGTTAATCCCATTTCATTTGTTTCTCATGGGGGCTCGAATATTTGTTGTTTGAACTTAAATGTTGTGACTATTAAACTAGTGTAAAATTTAAGAATGCATGAAAAGTCATACTGTTAATAAAACTAATTCTAGAAATATCATTGTTAAAATAAATGACATATAGTAGTGTTTCTGAGTACAATTTAAAAAACATCAAGTTGTCATTTAAAGGCAATTTTGATTAACCATGCATATATAAGGATCAAACTATATGCTAGAAATATGAGATTTCATCTTCCTTGTGTTGTGAAACTATTTTTAAATCTTTTATTTCACCTTACTGCAAAATTTTAGACACAATGAAAAGCACTCTAAGCAGAATGAGCATGTTAACATTAAAGGAATAACACTGAAAAAAAATCTTGAAAATTAAATAAAATAAATTGATGATTTATTGCTTAGAATTTAGCTTTTACTAAGTGCTCCTTTGAAACATGTTAGCAGATCCCAGCTCATTCTTTTAGAAATCACATGTTCATGCCAGACCTAACCAGTTGGCCAAATACCCATGATGAGGAACCATTTCTGAGAATACTGGTAAGAGCTCTCACTTCAGTCTTAACCAGCTGTTCCATGCAGAGAAAGCCAGCTAATTATAATTTTGATAAGGTTATCTGTCATTGTACAACACCTTTCTCTAGTACCTGAATGAAAATCAGCTATGCATGCCATACTAAACATGCCAGAGAATAGGACTTTGAGGCCTTGCCTTACAAAACTAGTTTTCAATAGCTGACATGAATATTTCCCTTTCCTATTTTGTCTGTTGTCCCACTCTAATTCAGTCTCTATGAAGACTGTACCTCAGAACACAAGATAAATATGAGAAGTCCTTGGGATAGGTTTACCAATCTATAGGACATTTTAATGCCATCTTATTTTTTATTTCTGAAACTACTAAAATTCTAGTTCCTGTTAAAAATTAACACTGTATACAGCTTACACTTAATTGCAAAAGGTACAGAAAATAGACTGATGATAAAATACTCTCTTCATACAAACATGTTTTCACACTCTAAATAGATGCTGTTGTTCTTTTGTTCCTTAGCTATAAGTGCCCAGTATGAACTCAGATTTATATGGTTTTTAATACAGATATACAAATTTTTAGTGACTTAAAAAAGGAATTACGGTTCCTGAAATATTTTGTATTTACTTCTTTTTGTAAGTCGTAAGCATTAAAAGTATTACCACCCTTTTGGAAAATATATTTTAGTGGTCTAGGCGAGAATATGGATTGTCATTTGGGCCACTAATGATTCTCCAGAGAACCTGGCTGGGCATTTTTTCTCAGTATAACTGATGTTCCTCATCTATAAAGTAGTGAAAATGTTATATCTACTTTAATTATGTTTAACGCAGGCATTCCTCTATGGCTAATAGCCCAAATACAGAAATTTGAATTACAATAGATTTGTAGCTTAAAACTAAATTTTTCATAGAAATAAAGAATTAAGTTACTCTTTTAATTAACTAGACTTTAGTCTCTACAGGAACTCAATGTTTATTTCCCTTCTTCCTGATTTCCAATATGATTTGTTTTAATTTATTATTAAGTGTGTTTACCTGCATTCCTATTGAAGACTACAATATTACCACACAAGCCAAATCAAATTTAATGAGAAAGACTTCATAAAACATTATCAAATGAACTTCACCAAACTCAGGCTAGATGATGCATCCTGGCCTTTAATATCCAAATATAATGAGTCTATAAAACAAAACAATACCTTTTATGTCACTTGATTAATGATATCAATTTGGACTTACATGAAACTTCAAAGTGTTTTTTGAAATGTTCATTTTGTACTAAATGATGAGTATTAATAATACAAGTTGGGTTTTCATTTCTGAAATGAGTACATTCTCAGGGAAAATGGAGTTAGAACACTTTTTTCTTGACGTTCCCTCATTACGAGGAGGGAGGTACCTAAAGATATAAGGACAGAACACTCTGAGTTATTCACTTACATTGCTTCAGCATCCTAGCATGTGGAATGGGGATAATAATAGTGGACCTGCCTAATTTGATTTTTCAGTTGATTAAAATAACCTAAAAGAAAGCCCTTCATAGAAAAAGTTTACTACTTATGCCAAGGTAACATTTTGGCATGGTAGCCATCTTAATGAACTATGGGGCAAATAGTTGCGTGGAGACTGATTTAAAAAGCTACACCCCAACATCAGTGTACTCCTTATGTGTACATTTGAACGGCCACGGCCAATTGACTACATTCTAGCTGTCCCCAGCTTTCCCTGATCTCCCTCCTTGCCACGACCACAAGAAGTCCTACCTGCCCTACAGTTAGTTACCCACCATCTATTTACGTGAGAAATCTCAGGTTTTCTTCAGTCATATTTACCCACTTTTTTATAATACCTAGCTTGTGCTGGGCACAATAAGGACAATTGGGTATACCGAGGTGAATCCAGTGGCGATCTTGCCCTCGATAAACTTAGGTATGAAGCCCTAACATTTTTATGATATAAGAGACATAATAGTTGATGGTAAAAGAGAGGATGGTTGCATAAAAGAGAAATTACTCCAAGTTAGAAAATTAAGGAAAACTTAATGGAAGAAATCACAACTGAACAAAGATTTGAAAGGACAAAGCTCCTGAAGCCACACAAGCTCACAGCCATCCACTTCCATCTTCCTAATAGCTGCTCTAGAAGGCTGGGTACTGTTGGTGGTTCTAACCCAGAGAAGAGTCCCTCTAGTAGAAGACCTAAGTGACCCTGCCGCTTAATCTTATTAAAAATCCAGGAAAAAATTTAGGTTCCTGGTTACCCTCTGGCCTTCTCTATTCATTTTGTCTTTTAGATGGAGAATCAACTAGCCTTCATTGGCCACTAGCATCAACAGTCTTGTATCACCACTGCTTGTCAACCAAGGTGACACGACCCAAGATATACAATGGTAACTGAAAAAAGACTTTAGATAACTCTTAAGAATTACATCTGCCGGTAAGGCCTTGCACAGCTCTATGGACTGCTCTGTTTTACCACTGTGTGCTGTTATAGAAAGCATCATTATGGAACTAAAAGACATAGTTCACTTGCCTGCAGGTAGATTCCTCCCTAGTTTTCCTTTGGTTTGGGCATCAGTGAAAATCTTTAAGTGAGCTAATAAGATAGCAACAAAAGCTAGAAATGAAATAAGACAACAGAACATTTTGGGTCACTACGCCATGGATGAATTGATCTGTCCTGCACCCATATTACTCCTTTCCCCCTTTTCCCAACCCCCAAATTCCTTACAAGTATTACAGAAGAGATTTTAAACCAGCTCTTGGCCATGGATGCAGTGTTTTATGTAGAAAATGTCCAAGTGCCATCCTTTAAAATGTTAGCCTTACTCTTTAGAACTCCCTTACGGAATGAATAATGGAAAAACGAATCATCTTGATAAGAAAATATCTGAGTCTTTACAGGTGAACATGAATAAAACTGGGAGTAAGAAATAACACTTTGTGAATTCTCAAATCATCTTCACCTTTTATCAGGAATGGACATTGATCAACATATTCAGCTCTATTTGGTGAGTTTTTTCCTAAATCTAAGAAAATATTCTATCATAATATACTTCCAAGTTATTTTTGCTATTATTGTATCCCCATACATGACACAAAGAAGGCTTTCAATAAATATTTTTCAATGAAAAAAAGAATGAATTTTTCCTCTCAAATGAGCAGTCTTTTTAACAATCTCAAGCTATTTGGAGCAGTGCAAAACTAAATTGGTGTCTGGGTATATACCCAAAATAATTGAAAACAGAGTCTTGAAGAGATATTTCTACACCCATGTTCAGTGCAGCATTATCCACAATAGCTAAAACATAGAAGCAACCCAAGTGTCCATGGACAGATGAATGGATAAGTAAAATGGAATACATACAATGGAATATCCTTCCTTATTGAGGAAGGACTTTCTACAATATGCTACAACATGGATGAAACTTGAGGACATCATGCTAAGTGAAATAATCACAAAAGGACAAATACTTTATGATTCAAAGTCAAAATCACAAAGACAAAATATAGTGGTGGTTGCCAGAGGCTGGGAAGAGGGGATAAAGGGGAATAATTGTTTAATAGGTATAGTGTTTTAGTTTAACAAGATGAAAAGAGTTACAGGGATGGATGATGGTAATGATTACACAACAATGTCAATGTTTTGTACCACTGAACTGTACATTTAAAAATGGTTAAGATTGTAATTGTTATCTGTATTTTATCGTAATATATATATATATATATAAATATAAAGATAGATGATAGATAGATAGATAGATAGATAGATAGATAGATAGATAGATAGATAGACAGACAGACAGACAGACAGATAGATAGATATGAGTTTTCTAACCAAATTAGTTTGGTTTCTCTGATTTACATCTTCAAATCGAGCTGAGCTGACAAGGGTCTTGGATATCATGGGGAAGTACAGAGTACATAGTGCCTTCTCTGTTGCATTAGGGACTAACAACAGTGGGGCTAGAGTTTAAACAAGAATTTACTAGTCCTGCACTTGCCCTAACTTTTTCTCTCATCTTTTTTTTTTGGTATAAATAATATTTCAAATGATGTGGATGTGGTCATTCAGGACCCATTTGCTGTCTCCTGTGATTGCTCTCACTGCAAGCTATAGGTCACTTTTCAAGAAATAAAGGCTACCAGTATGGTAAGACAACACTTTAAACTCAACAGTGTACTATTTTATTTTTAGGTCTCGAAAAGGAATGGCAAAATGATCCTGCTGCAGTTCTCAGAGTGATGAACTGAACTGACCCTCTCTTATTAGCATCTTGTAACATGGTACTCAGGCTTAAATCCCACAGTGTAAAAAACCTAGTATAGTGCAGACTTCCTTACTAATCTTTTTTAAAAAATGAACAGCTAGAATCCCATGTTTTGAATAAAATCCATAACAACAGTCTGTCTACCTAAACATGTTCCGTGAAAATCATGTCATAAACTTAAAATGGAATTGAAAGCATAAATAATTGGGCAATAAATGTTTTCCAAATACCAGCATGATGGGTTGAATGACTTTATTAAAGATTGGGTAGATTTTTTAAAACAAATTCTGTAATTGGATTTATTTAGCTTCATTGTAGCTTTTCTCTTTTCCTCTTTCTACTATAGTAAGTCTAATTGACCTGGAGAAGATAACTCATACAATAACTATTAATAGTTCGAAAAAATACTTTTTCAAAATGCTATGTATTTGAATCAGCTGCAGTCTCATTACATGAGGTGAAAATGGAAAGTCATCCAAAATTATAATCTCCAATAAATATATTTTTCTCCATGTTTGAAATATTTCATTTACAAAAATTTATATGTACCTACCATAGGGCATAATTAGCATCTCTAGGCCTGTGTTACTAAATAGCTATTCCATCA